GACAATTTACCTTAAAGATGTTACCAATATTCAAATTTAAGAGCACAAAATATTTACAATGGATTTTATAATTCAGAAGACAAGAAAAAAAGTGAACAAACTGTACCCAATTTACGAAATCATCAAAGGAATTTAGGTACCTAGCGGAAAATCAACTTCTTTTTGCACATTCGGGTTTAACAAGTATATTGACCGAATACTGTGCTAAAAGGATGAAAATAACACAAACTTAAACAAGGCAAATGGTTGATGGGTCGTTATACACGACTGAGGTGAATACCTACTTACATCATTCGTATCTTGTGAAGCGCGAGTTTAGGATAGTCTTAAAACAGTATTGATAAATATTGAAAAGTTCACGAGAACTGCCATTCCTAGGGGTTACCCCTTACCTCCGGTTTATTTATTTCGATTAACTTGGTGATTCTCTGCGACTCCCAGAGGAATGACACTGAGATACGCTTAATCAGCACAAGGTGATCAATCAGCTCTATCAATTTCATCTAAATGGCGAGCAAGACCTTCAAGGCGGGATACATCTAGTCTCTACCAGACCAAGCAGTAAACTCTTCTCAGTCAGCCTACTGGGTACCAAAATGAGTTCAACTCCAGACAATCGGATAGGCAGAAGGATTTCCCACCTGGGACCCTAGAGTCTATGACTAGTCGCATGTTTGAGGGCGATTTTCCTCGGGCACTAGTAAGCCATTTCGAGTTCATGGATTCGCCACATTGCCTTGACTCTTGACACTCATTTCGGCCGAGCTGTCTCGGCCCCCTTTAGTGAGTGTAACGGGCTAGGCTAGGATTTCCCACTTGGGACCCTCAAGTCTATGACTGGTCATTGTTTGTGAGCGACTCCCCCTCCGGCACTCGTAAACCTTTTCGAGTTCATGGATTCGTCACATTGCCTTGACTCTTGATACACATTTCGACCAGGCTGTCTCGGCCCCCTTTAGTGAGTGTAACGGGCTAGGCTAGGATTTCCCACTTGGGACCCTCAAGTCTATGACTGGTCATTGTTTGTGAGCGTCTTCCCCTCCGGCACTCATAAGCCTTTTCGAGTTCATGGATTCGCCACATTGCCTTGACTCTTGACACTCATTTTGGTCGGGCTGTTTTGGCCCCCTTTATTGAGTGTAATGGACTAGGCCCTTTCACCTAGGTTCTGACCTTTTCTCATATTTAGGGAAATCGGTTGTGTCTGACTTTAGTTTTTAAAGTGACATTCGCCAGCAAGCATCGCTTAAGATTTGATACTAGTGCGACACATCAAGCAGTTACTTACGCTACAATATTCCTCTAAGCGGGGTCTGACTTGGTATTTTAGGTAGATCAAAAGAGTGAACCTACTGTATAATCTATAAGCGATATTACTTACAAAACTTAAAACCAAGGCAAGCCACCCCTATAAACAATCGTGAGAATTAATTACAATGCGTGAATAGACTTATAAGGTGTTGATCTGCAAGCGCTTAAGACGAAATTGAAGCAATCATGCAGTTATTCAAGGCAAGGTTTCAATTCTGCTGTATAATCAGATTTACGTGTCGAGACATATTAATTTAATTAATAATTCAGAAACTGTGTTGTAATTAAGAAGTAAACTTCTTTTAAAACAGTTATTGGTTTATCATCGATTAAATTTTTATAACAATCGTATCAAATATTTCCTAGTCATTTAAATAAAATTTTTAGAATCAATTGTAGTGGAATCTATAACAGCCTCAAAAATTCCATCTCTGAAATTGGATATTTCTGAAACTACATTGTTCATTTATTTCATTTTGCACCACTCGAATCAGAAATATTTAAAGAATAATCTGTCTAAACTTTAAAAAATAAAAAAGAAATCATTTGATATCACAACTAATAG